GGGAATGCAGGTCTCCTTGATTCAGATAATGAAGAAAACAGCCATGTGAGTACATCTCTGATGAGTTGAAATGTTGCTGAATAGATATGAAATCAAATAGAACCAGGTCCAAAACTACAGTGAGAGGGCTGGGGGTTTAGCTCAGTAGCATAAGTGCCTGCCTATCAAGCGTGAGGTCCTGAGTTCAATCCCTGGTACAAAAAATGAATAAATAAAATGAAAGTAAAACCACCACCACAACAAAAACAGTGAGGGTCTTGGCAGGGATGACACATACTGAACAGAATGCCAGCAATGCCGTCAGTGTTAGAAATTGTAAGACAAAATGCTACAAGATGCTGTGAAATAAACAAGAGCAGAGATACAAGTAAAACATTCTGTATGCACAAATACCCATATTGAAAATGTATTTATTATGATACCTCACTAGCTGAACTGAAAACATTAATAGGTCTATTTTACTTAGCAGGGATTTCTCATGATAATTATAGGAATATAAAAGACTTATGGAAGAGTGATGGGTCAAAATATGGCATAAAAATTTATGGCCTTGTAGATTTAAAGACTTACGCTTTCAGTTTAGAAATTTATCCTGAAGTCAGCTATCAGATTCTTATTCATCTAGTGGTAAACCAAATGATGTTGTAAACAGACTTGCTACTCTCATCTCCTAAACTAATTGGAATATGACATTTGACAATTGGTTTACTGAGTCCCAACTGGTATTACATTTGCTAACACCACAAATTGTGCAGCACTAGAACTGTATGCAGGGACAAAGGAGAAATTCCAAATAAAATATTGCATTTCAAAATCGGGAATTGTATAGCACAATCTCTGGATCTCAGAAAGATTTATGTTGGCCTCACACTTGGCAAAGAAAACAAACTGGTACTGCTGATGTCAACACTGCACCATGTGGGAAACATTGATAGGAAAACCTCAACACAATGGAGGTCTCAGGTGGAAACTTTCTACAACAAAACCAAAGGCAGAGTAGATGTTGAGTTATGTAGCAAGTATGATGTCACACAAAGTATTGACCAGTGGTTGCGTTTTACTTGATCCTAAACATGTGTACCATAAATAGTTTGATAGTTTACAAAGAAAATTATAAGTGAAAAACACCAGGGAGAAATTTTCTTAGAGGATTGAGACTGGAACTCAGAAGGATCATTTATAGCAGAGGAAAAATTATGCAAAACAAATTGTGGATCACACTGGCGACCTGACAGATGAATAGGCAGATGCAGCATCCCAAAGACCTACTCTGACAATAGAAAAACCAAAAAAGATGTTAACTGTGGCCTACAAGAAAGGACAGAAAAACAAAACACACATGCTATCAGTGTGAATGATGTTTGTATATGGAACATACAATTTTTATGTGTGAAGACTGCCTTGGGTGTGACAATTGGATGTGAAGATTATTTTTGTTGTAGATTTCTATTGGGTATTTTCACTGTAGTTCATGTAGGTTTTTATTTCTCATGTTATCTCATAGGTTTTGTAGGCAAATAAACAGCTAATGTGAAAATGTTGATGTCTATTCTAAGCAGTCATTTCACATTTGATATTGTATTTTATTGCTATCTTATTCCCCTGCTAAGTGCATGTTGTACAGCATAGTAGGAAGCTCCTGACAAAACAGGAAGAGGAAAGAAACGACAAGAATGACTTGCCACATAGAAAAGGAAACCTAAGCACATGCACTATGTCAGTGAGATGTGTGCATGGAACATGCAGTTATCATATACGAAGACTTTCTTGGGTGTGACAGTTGAAGCAGAGTCTTCCTGTGGTAACTTTTGTTTGTGTTTACCTCGTAGCTCATACATATTTTTATTTCTGATATCACTTAGGTTTTGTAAGCAAGCACACAGCTGATGTGATGTTGATGACTATTCTAAGCACACATTACATATTTGATATTTTATTTTATTGACATCTTATGTTCCCATTATTTAGGTGTGCTAATTGAAGTAAAGATTTTTTGTAGAGTGCTAGTGGTATTTTCATTGTAGTTCACATAGGAATTGTTTCTGATATTATCTTTTAGGTTTTGTAGGCAAGTTCACAGGTGATGTGAAAATGTTGATGTTAGCCGGGTGTGGTGGCTCCCGCCTGTAATCCCAGCACTTGGGAGGTTGAAGTGGGAGGATCACTGCAAGTTCAAGACCAGCCTGGGCTACAAAGTGAGCCCAAGACCAGCCTGAACTGCACAGGGAGACCCTGTCTCAAAAAAAGACAACAAACAAACAAACAAACAAAGAAGATGTTGATGTTTATTCTAAATGCACAATACATATTAAGAATTTAATACTTTATAAGGCAACCCACTTGGATCCCCTTCTATCTCTTTCAGACAGAAGCATTCTTTCTCTCAATAAATACATTCTACTCTTAAAAAAACAATTTAATACTTTATTGATATTTTATGTTCTTGTTAACTACATGCTGCATAATATACTTAGAACTTCCTGACAAAATAACAGGATAAGCTACATGTCAAGTATCTTTTACAAAAAGGCCAGGAATGCAAAATACAGGCGCAGTCAGTGTTAAGCAATATGTGTGTATGGAATGTGTCACTGTCATGTGTGAAGACTACCTTAGGTACGATAACTGAAGTAAAACTTATTTTTTATTTTTTGTAAAGTGCTGTGGTGAATTAACTAATAGGCAGTTTGTAACACCCAGCTGAATTGAATCAGCATGGTTCTGGTTGTGGAAGGCCCATCTGAAGATTGCTGCCAATGGAATAAGAGGAGAACTAGATGGGAAGATGGTGTGCTGTTAATTCTCCTGGAGATGCTTGTCACACTGACTGCCCTAATATGAACTCAGCTGTTTTCATTATTGGAAGAGCCTGGGCTCTCACTGTTGGTGAGGATGGTTAGGGTTCTCTTTGGGGGAGCTCCGGTCCATCGCTTCCTGGCTCCAGGGCAGCTTCTTCACCCTGCTGATGCAAACTTTCTAGCTTATTCTGCTCACTATTGGGCCTTCCCCGTGCATATCCTTGACAGAGCCTTGCACTAGACATTGTTGTGGGCTCTAGGGATCCAGTTGGACACATGGGCTCTAGGTTTTCGGCTGGACTCACGCAGCACATTGCCATGGGATCTAGGCCCTCAGCTGGATTTTTTGGATTTCTGGTGTGTGACCAGATCTCCCACACTCTTGCATTTCACTCTTTGGGTGAATATTATAAAATAATCCTATAAATTGTGTCCACTATTAGATCTTTTGCCTTGAAAATTCAGACTACAAGTGCTATTGATAGTTCATATAGGAACTTATTTCTGTAGTTCTTAGACTTTTTCATTAAAACAAGTTGTTATTGAAAAATTTGCTGTTTTATAAACAATAAATATCACAAAGGCAATGCCTTACTTTTGTGACTTTTTTGTGGTAAGCATGCACTGTTTAATATAATAAAACTCATAAAATTAAAAATTCATCAAGAGAAACATCCTAACGAATAAACGTGGGTGTAACTCACACATGGTTATACTTCTGAATTACAGTGTGTTAAGCTCCAAATTAAACTATGCTAAAACTTTGACTTGGCCAGTGATGTTGGCCAGTGGCTATAGCCCTAACCACTCAGGATGCCGAGGCAGGAATGCTAGAGTCTAAAAGTTTGTGACCAGCCTGAGCAGCATACAGAGACCCTGTCTGCCAACCCCTAACCCTATCAAGCACTCCCCCATCCTACTGCAACTTTTGCAAACCTCAACAAATAAATCCAAAAACAAGTTGCTTCTCCTAACAGACTGTCCTCCTATCCCTAAGACTTCTTGTGCTTTTTATGTAAGCCCTCCCTTCTTTTTTTTTTTTCCTAAGCCCTCCCTTCTTACCCATAGCCAATGTAGATTCAATATAAGTAACTTATGCCTGCTTTCCTGAGATGGTCATTTATAAAGTGCTTTTTTTTTAAAGATCTGTCAGACATTTTTCTAGCTGCTACCTAGCCTCCTGGAGGCTGAGGGAACTTGCCCTAGGACTTGTCCTTTCTTTCTGGCTAGCATCTATGATGGCTCAGTAATATTCTTCTATTTCAGAGATCTTTTCCATCTCTAGAGTCTGGGTTTAACAGTGTTCAGGAGGATTCTTTTTTAGTACTCTTGGGAGTTATAAAAAAAAGATCTTTGATAAAGATTGCTTTTTGGCTTGAACCAGCTTAATTTCTGAGACTGTATTAGCAACACTTGCCCCACCTACATGGGCAAGCAGATGAATCAGAATTACATGAATAATATACTTCTGTTTGAGTGTGTGGTACTGAGAATTGAGTTACCCCTCCCATTGTTGAGACAGTGTCTTGTCAAGTTCCTAAATTGTCCAGGCTGTGCTTGTTTTGAGCCTTCCAGTGCTGGGATTACAGGCTTGGGCCATTACGTCTTTTGCAACATGCTTTTGCAAAAGAAATTCACATCAATAAAATAAATCCATATAACATATGTGCAAAGTCTGTTACGAGGTGGAGGGTTAATCCGAAATGACGTTTACAGGGCTTCCTAAGAAGTTATCTGCATAAGAAAATTTTCCATCATGAGCTTCCTCTTCTCATTCTCCTTTAACTTGGGTCGCCACTCTGAGAGAAGCCCCAGACCCCCATTTTTTCTGCAGCTCAGGATGCTGCAGTAGTTTACCCCTTCCCCCCAACAGTTGTATACACCGGAATATGCTTTTGTAGTCTTGCGATCTCATTTGTACCCAACTCCAGTGTGGGCTTAAAATATCACACAGCTGTTAATCTTGGTTTCTTCTGGTACAGCGCCACTTGGATACACATTTGCTTACAGTTTCTACCGCGTTAGGGAAACATAAGCACAAAACACAAAAATAACCCCACAGTCGTAGTAGTTTTCCAAGCGTCTCAAACTCAACGAGGGGCGGGGTGATGGCGAGGCCACGCCTACCTGCAGCGCAGCCCCACTCTCCCCCACCCGGAGTGGGCTTCCAATTGGCCGAGGCGTGGGTCGGACGTGCGCGCAAACGCCCGGATGTGCCTCTGCTTCCGGCGCGCTCCCCGAGAACTATAGGGGACGCGTACCGCGGCTCGCGGTAGCTTAAGGGTCGGTATGGCCCTGTGTGACTGGAAAATGGAGCAAGAAGCCTAGTCTATGGGGCTAGCTCTGACCCTTACCCTCTCCCCGGCGGAGGTCCAGCCGCTCCTGCGACCAGGAGCCTCCTCCCTCGCCACCCTGAGTGCGTCCGAGCTCCCGAGTGGCCTGGGCCCGCGAGAATAGTCGCCGAGGCCCAGGGCATCGGGCTTCCGCGCGCTGGGTTACGGGATCTGGGGCGTCCTGTGGGGACCCCTTGGTTTCATTCCAGGCGCGAAAATCTCCGCGCGGTGAGGAGCAGGTATGGCTCTGAAGCGTGGGTCAGATTTGTGTCTGAGCTGGGAACGGGCCCCTTAGGTCGCCATCGTGTCCATCCTCTTCCCGACTCCAGTCTTTGTGTCCTCCGTGGTTAGCGGCGTGTGGCTTTGTGAGGGTTTTGTGGGAAGAGCGCCGCCGTCGCAGCCCAGGAGGGAGGCGGGGCTTGGGGCCCGCGCTTTCCTCGGCGGGGGCGGGGGCGGGGGCGCGGATGGGCGTGGGGACTGGGGTCTTGCCGGGAATCCCGGATTAAGGGCTAGACCCACAGGGGTCGAGATGGTGACAGGTGCCGGTTGGAGCGCGGCGCCAAGCTGGGCTAGACTGGGCTGGTTCCGTGGCGGGTTGAGTCAGCTTTTCCTCTTGGGCTGGTCAAGTTTAGACACGTTCCAAGTCTGCAGTTGGAGGAGCTAAGTCCCGACTTGTCTCCAGCTGAGGCTATTTAAACCATGTCTTTTCCCAGTTGTGTTCACTGGCTATTGGAGGTAGACATCTGGGATCACCGGCATACAGCAAGTTTTCTGTATTGATCAAGGTAAGAATTGATTAGGTAATAGTTTTAGTTTATAAAGGTATTATTTAGAGGCATGATCTTTATATGTAGTTTTGTTTTTTTCTAGTAATGTTTTATTATTTCAAGTTTATTTGTGTTTTCTTCCTACTTGTAGGCCAATGTGCAATACCAACATGTCTGTGTCTACTGATGGTGCTGTAAGCACCTCACAGATTCCTGCTTCGGAACAAGAGACCCTGGTTGGTATTTTTGTCTCAAGTGTAATGTTAGAAAATAATATATGCAGTGATCATTCCATAAACCTGGAATATAGAATAGAAGGCTTTTACGTGAAAGTGTATGTATTTAACTTCAATACTACTTTCTCAGGTTTAATTGCATGAAGTAAAAGTGAACTGTTAAGGATTAGTATTTTCTTAGCCCTTCATCACATGCGCTGTAAAAGTTCCATTACATTGTTAAGCGTTATGATGGTATGTTGATGTTACATTTATCATAATTTTTCTAGTTTAACCTTTCCGTTCTTAACTTTTTAAATGGTTTCTAAAAGTCACAAAAGTAGCTCATGGTGTTTGTAAAGGTTTTAGAAATATGCAAAGTAAAATCTAGGAATTCCTGCCTCTTTTCTTCATGCCTCCTTTTAAGGTGTATGTGTAAATACCTATATAAGCAGTATGTTAACGTGAAAATTTAAATATGGTTTACCAAAACAGGATTAAGTAAGCTAGAAGTGTTCTACAACTTTGCAAATCTACAGAATTCTTTTTAATGACTGCGTAGTATTTTAATAGCACAACTATGCCATTTTTATTTTTTGATGTTTTCATGGATTTTTCCATGAAAATTTTTGATATTTCATGATGTTTCATTTTATGTGTTGTGGATCCAACTCCATGCTAGCAGATGCCTAAAGCCCTGAGTTACTTCCCTACCCTTATTGATAGGCTTTTACAATTGACTTGTTTTTCCTTTTCAAAAAAGATAAATTAGTGGTTAAACCCAGGGCCTTGCACTGATCTACATCCCCAGCCCTTTTCTTGGAATTTTTTGTGGTACTGGAGATTGAACTTATGGGTGCTGTACCAATGAACTATATCCTCATCACTAGCCTTTTTTAAAATTTTGAGATATAATCTAGCTAAGTTGCCCAGGAGTGACTAGGACTTATGATCCTCCTGCCCCAGCCTCCACTGCTAGGATGTAGATGTGCATCACTGCACCTGGCTCTCAGGGTTTTTTTTTTAAAACTTTGAGATAGGGTCTTGCTACATTGTCAAGGCTAGCCTTGAGTTTGTAATTCTCTTGCCACTCACCCAGCTTTTATGTAGAACTTTTGTTGAATTACACGTTTGATTGCTACCACTGCCCATTAAATGTGACAAGTGGGATGTGATGGTAGACACATGTAATTCCAGTAGGAAACTGAAGGGGTAGGTTGCTGTAAGTTTGAGGCCAGTCCGGATTACAGGATGAGACCTTGTCTTAAAAAAAAAAAAGAGTTGTAATGGTTTTCACTTCTGCCAACACCGAATATTGTGTTTTTAAAAATTGACGTGTATATTTAAGGGATACAGTATGATAATTTGACACATGTATACATATAATGATAAAATCAAAGAAATTAGCATTTCCATGTCCTTAAATACTTAAAATTCCTTTGTTGGGAACTTTTGAACTCTTCTGATACCTTATAAAATATATAATAAATTGATAGGAATCAGTCTTTTATTATAATTATTGCCTTTTTGGAGTAGAAAAGTGTATGGTATTTAAATTTGTATGTCCCAGGTCTCTAGTGAGTCTGGCAGGCTTTTCATTTTTGAAATCACTTGTTTATTCTGGGATTTGTCGGGTCTTGTGTGTCTATTCTTTGTATTTTTCTTTGTAACTTGAGTAATTTCCTGCATTTCAGGTTTATTGAACTTTGATTGTTCACAAATACTGCATTTAAATGGTTTTTTCCCATGGTGAACATTTTTATGAAGTCATATTTGTTGACTTTTGAATTTTTTTCTTTATCTTTCCCATCCCAGCATTATGCAGATATAGCATGTATTTTCTTGTATTTTAAACTTTTGTATCTAAATCTTCATCTGGAATTTATCTTTGTCTTCTGAACTATGTACAGTTTTAGGACTGGGGCTGGAGGTATGCCTAGTACTCTACCAAAATCTTGGGTTTATTCCACAGCACTGGAAAGAGAGTATTTTATAGTTTTTTTTTTTTTTTTTTTTTACTCATGCTTTATAAGGCTTGACCAAAAACTGAGTTTCCATTGCAGATTGAATTAATGTAATTTTGTGTGGTGTATGTAAAGATTTGGGGGATGTTGCACATACCCTTAAATTGAAATGATAACAGATTTACATGGCCCTTATATAAGTGATATGCAGATTGATGAAAAATAGGAAAAAAATTAATTTTCAAATTTTTTTCTGACAGTTCATTATTTAATCTGAAAGTAAAGTTAATGTTTAAGTATTTTTCAAAAGAACAAACAGTGAATTCAGTTCCATGTTTACAGTAGATTCTAAGTTCTTCACTAATTAGCTAGAAATAGGCAATTTTCTTAAATCTGGTTATGAACATTAGATCCCAAATGAGGGTGCTGTCAGATTCAAATAGTTGTAGACACAAACTAAAAGAATGAGTTTTGCAGATGTTGAACAGCAGCAGGCAGGGAGAAAGAGCATAAGCACATTACAACCCTTACCTTGCCACTTATATATTTGATAGCACTTGGCAAAACTTGTAGATCAGCATCAAGTACACTAAATGGCATCTGGACCAGACTCCTTAAATACAAGTTTTATGTCTGTTTTTTTCTGGTGCCTATCAGTGGAGTATAGTAGACAATACATATTTGTTAAGTAGCTGTTTGAACTGTAGACCAAATTGGAAAAAAATGCTGATTTGTGGTTGAGGATCATGAGTTGTAGTGGTAGATCTGCTTTTAAATTACCCATGTCAGCTTTGGGTTAAATATTTTAGTAGCCAGGAACTAGTTCCTAGAAGTAACAGGATTTACCTTATTCTTTTTCCTTGTATTCTATAATTTCACTTACAATAAGCTTATTTGAACTGTACTATAGGGTAAGCTTCTTGGATCTCAGCCATTTATAATGGTAAGGCAATAAACAAATGATAGAAATCCTAGAAGAAAAATAATATTAACTGTCTTGGATTGGTACTGTTTTTAAATAATTAGACCTCCAGCATTTTTTCCATATCTGAAGATATCTATGTCATTCAGTTTGCATAATGTGTTCCCTTTAGTAAAACCTTATAATTCATTTTTATAGATCTAACTTGGTGAGATGGCGAAACAGTGTTTGCTACCTTTATTGAACTTCTTTCTCCACGTATTTGTTGCAGGCCTTACAGTTTTAGAATAATTTTGCAAATTCAATAACAGCATTTTTTTCTTTATAGGTTAGACCAAAGCCATTGCTTTTGAAGTTGTTAAAATCTGTTGGTGCACAAAAAGACACTTATACTATGAAAGAGGTAAGGTGAGCTAGAGGTAATCAATGTCTTACTAGTTGCATGTTACTATAATTTTCAAGATTATGGGAGAAATTAGACATAGAGGAATTTTGCAGTAAACAGCAACACTTTTGTGATCATTTGGTCTTTACTTTGTTGCTGAAAATTCTAATTGTGCTTGCATGAGTTTCATTTCTCAACCAGGAATGCAGAGTTAGAAGTAGGTCCAGTAGGGGTTTTTGGTCTTTTTGTGCTATGAACCCATTTGGCAAACTGATAAAAAAAAAATCTTCAGATTGGGAATTTCTCAGAATCATGTTTTTCAATCCACGAAATAAAATAAATATGATTACAAAAAATACAGTTATTAAAATAGTAAACAAATTTGTGATATACTTCTTAAATTAACATTACTGAAATTCAGCAGCAGATATTTCTGTATTGTCAGGCATAGAAATATTTTGATGTGCTTCCACAAAGCATAGTGTAATGTGAAAACTTAAGATTTTTATTGGTGACAAAATCACAGGTACTGCTAATAGTGTTGTAATTTGTTGCCTATATTAATAATTGAAGGAAAAACTAAATTTCAGTTTGAATTGAGTGAAAATAAAGATAGAATTTTTAAAAAATCCATATTATTGGATTCCTGAGTTCTATTCAAGGACTTTTTAGGCATCCCTGAGTCCCAGGTTAAGAACTTTTGCAGTAGAGATACATGAGTAAAGTTTACTGAATTCTGGGATAGAGGTGAGCTGATTCACGAATGTGTTCTATTTAATAGATGGAGCATTTCAGTGTATTGTTCTCTGCTCTGAAATTTGGTCATAAAAGAATGGTTTCCTGTGAGGGATGGGGCTATTGTGGGAAGAGTTTCAGTGTGATCGAGATAGGCCTATTGTCCATCTCTCCTAGTTTATAGGGGCTTAGATTACTTAAATAGTAAACTTCCTTTCTTACAATAGTTTAATGAGGTTGGAAAAGATTGCAGATCCTTTTCAGTTGCATGTTTATAAAATATCTGAAGGGGTGCTTGGTAGAAGGAATGTAGCTTTGTTTCCTGTTTTTCCCACTGCCTGTCAGCCCTCCAATCGATAGTCTTTCAAGATTATTAAGATTTACTCCTGCTTAGCTCGTTAAGTTCCTAGGTAGAATTTGCGGGAAAGTACTAAGATAATTGATGTTTTTAGGGCTGTGAATCTGATACTGACTTCATAACATAATCTGCTAAAGAAACAAAAATGTTCAGATTTAATAGTAGATAGAAATTAAAAAACTGATCAAGAGCAGCAAAGACTTGAATAAGCTATAGAGTAGTAACATATTAATGTGGTCCTCTCCTGCTGTCGGCAGCAGATTGGTTCCAGGACCCCCACCCACAGTGTTCAAGTCCCTCATATAAAATAGACTGGTTTTTGTATACAATTTAGGCACATCCTTTCATATACTTAAGTCATCTCTAGATTATAAAACAAATATAAACATATTGTTTAGGGAATAATGACAAGAAAAAAATTCCTGTATGTTTAGGATAGATACAGTTTTTTTTTTTTTTTTTGGTACCGGGGATTGAACTCACAACCTTGCGCTTGCCAGGCAGGCACTTAGGCCGCTGAGCTAAATCTCCTGCCCTCTAGGGTTTTATCTACAGGTTTTATTTTGAAGTATTTTCAGTCTGCCTCTCATTTGTTTCTTTTTTTGTTTCCCTTTTCCTTTTTCGGTACCAGGGATCGAATGCACAATCTTGTGCTTGCCGGGCAGGTGCTTACACCACTGAGCTAAATCCCTTGTCCTCTCATCCATTTCTAATACATAACAACTGTATGAAATTTTATGAAATATCAGAAGAATGAGACTAGTGATTATGTTGTAAACTAAAATGCTATACATGTTTTGGTGGTTAATAGGTTTGTGTTGGGATAACTTAAAAGTGGATTGTTGGGGATTTCACTCAGCGGCATAAGCACCTGACTTGCAAAGCACGCGGTCGTGAGTTCAATCCCTGGTACCGATAAAAAAAAAAAAAAAAAAAATTATAAAAGTGGATTGTTTACCTCCTCTTTTAGGAGTACATAGTATATATAATTTAAGTGGTTCAGGTCTTTATTTTGATTATTTACTGTAGTATACATTAATTTTTTTTTTTTTTTTTTTTGGTGCTGGGGATTGAAGTCACAACCTAGCACTTGCCTGGCAGGCGCTTATGCCACTGAGCTAAATCCTCAGCTGAATTAATATTTTTAAGGATTTATTTCACTGATTAATTTCTCCTAGAGATGTTATTTTCCTGTCAGTCCTCTCTGATAACCTCAGAGGCTATTGAGGTAGATGGTGTTTGTGACTATTAAATGACTGGGTCACTGCCATATGTTATGAGCTTTTTGTTTTGATTTTGCAACTTTTACATTTTACTTCATTTTTCCTTAGCAAGTACATAGCAGACATTTAGTTTGTAAGGAAAAAAATTTCACATTTAAGCAAATTAGAAAAGCGGTTATTTTGCTTCTATCAAATTAAAAGAAAAAGGTTTAAAAGTAGCTTCTTTTAGAATACAGAAGATGTTTGTCTATCTGCTTGGGGTTCTGATTGTTTAATCCTGTTCAGGTAAATGGGATATTATTGAAAGTAACAGTTTTTTGTTTGTTTGTTTTTGTTTTTTAATGCTCAGAAATCATTTTTATTTCAGGTCATATTTTATCTTGGCCAGTATATTATGACTAAAAGATTATATGATGAAAAACAACAACATATTGTATATTGTTCAAATGATCTTCTAGGAGATTTGTTTGGAGTACCAAGCTTCTCTGTGAAGGAACACAGGTAAAAAGCTAGCTGTGCAAACATTTCAGCTTACTTCACCCACACTCCCCTTTTGTCAGTGATGAATCGATGTATATAAAAGATGCTAATGTTCTTTTTTGGGTCGTATTGGGTTTCAAATAATGGTTTTCATACTGATCAAGTGCTGTATTGCTGAGCTACATACCCAGCCCTGAAGTTTGCTTTCTGGCAACATATGGAGAACCGGAGGTCTAAAATTATATAAACCTGTATTTGAGATCTAGTCCCATCATTTACTATGAGTGTGAATAGGTAAATTGATGTCAATTTTCTAAACCTTAGTTTCTGCATTTATTAAATTGGAATAATGTTAGTACCTCATAAAGGTTATAAATACCTCATAAAAAGCATTTTGTAAGAAGCTAGTGTTTAGTACATGGAAAGCATTTATATATTAGTTATTTTATGTTATAAATTATTCTGTGCATTTCTGAAGTTTATACCACCACCATATAGTAAAGGCTTAAATTTGAAATATAGTTGCTTTGAATATCATTTTTTATTTTTACTTATTTTGTTGCCTTAGATCATTATGGCAATTAGTTGCATTTAACTTAGATAACCTTTCTAGAATGATTCTACTTTGAAACTAAAGATTTTTTTTTTTGTCATTCTTACTTTACATTTGGAATTTGTGCTAGTTTAGCACAGCCAGTCTGTTGATTGTTAATACTAATATCTTAGTAAGTGGGATAGATACTTTGTGCTTGAAACAATCCATTAGATTATTATTTATTATGTTCCCACTAATTTGAACAACCAGTGAGTGGTACATAGATGATTGTTCCATTGAGTGACTTGTACCAGAGCTCGTTATTTTTTTTTCAGAGCTAGTTATTTTTATTGGTCTTTTTGCTAATAATAAAAAGCTGGCGATGGGATAGTCATACTTATATCACCTGTGATTCAGGCTTCCTGGACTTGAGACATATAAATTATGATCCCTTCATGTATGTGTTAGTGGTCAGTAATCATAGGCTGGGAATATAGCTCATTAAAGCATTAGGCTCTTATTCTGTTTCTAATATCACAAAAAGAAAATGTTGGAATGTTAGAGCTAAAAGGAGTATTATTCAGTGTAATATTTCTTTATAAGCATAATATATGTTCATTATTGAATGCCAGGAAAAGCCAAAGTTTAAGAAAAGTAGGACAAAAATTGAAGTTTGTCTTCAAAAAAATCTTAATGTTTGTGCTGCATGCTTAATACACACTATCACTGGGTTATATCCCTAGTCTTCATTTGGTCTTTAACATTATAGAAATATCTTTATTCTGTTTTTTTTTTTTTTTTTTTTTTTTTTTTGGTTAGTATCCAGAATTGAACTCAGGACCCTGCACTTGCCAGGCAGGCATTGTGTCGCTGAGCTATATCTTTGGTCCTACTGTTTTTTTTTTTTTTTTTTTTGTGGTACCGGGGATCAAACTCATAACCTCCCGCTTGCCAGGCAGGCACTTACACCGCTGAGCTGAATCCCCAGCCCTGTTTCTGTATAATATCCATTCATGTTGTTTTATACTTGATCTAGCAATAAAAGATACAGCTATAGGGGCTGGGGGTTTAGCTCAGTGGCATAAGTGCCTGCCTTGCAAGCAGGCAGTCGTGAGTTCGATCCCTGGTACCGATAAAAACGAAAAAGACCAAAAAAAAAAAAAAAAGATACAGCTATAAATTTAAGAAAAAATACTGGCAATTGTTGTATCATTTGAGTATTCAGTCTTCTGATAGTTTTTGGATATAGTTTTGATATTCAAAACAGTGCTAAGATTATCCTTGATTCGAATTCTGATAGGGTGAGAGATTAGAAACTGGGGAAACAACGTGAAAAAAGAGTAGGAAAATTGATTTTTGTGGGTTTAAATTGCTTTAAGGTTGGTAGCTCTTTAATAGAGGATCTACCTACTATGCTGGAAGGCATGAGTTCCATCTCTAGCACTGCAAAAAGTTGTTTTATCAGTTATTCTCAGGAGTGGAAAAAAAGTTGGAATTGGTAATTAATCATGAGAATGAGAAATGCTACCTTTTGACAGGTAAGCATTGGGCATTAGTTTAAAAACAAGGGGAAAGAGAGACCTTAGTAAGCACTAGAATATATTAATTCCTGTTAGGATGTAAGTTCCATGAGAGCAGAGATTTCTCATGTTTCATTTTGCTGAGTGTCTAGAACAGTGACTGGTACATGGTTAAGTTCTCATTCTATATTAATAGATACTGCTTTATCTTTTAATTTATATTCAAGAAAAAATCTGTTAAATTATTGGTCTGAGTTTGATTTGGTTTCTATATAATGGATTTGACATAAGCTATTGTCTCTTTAAGTAGTTTGTTTTTAAGCACAGTGCTAGGAAATTTTTGTTTCAAAAATTTGTAGTCAAATCCAAAAGTCAAGAACATTTTTAGCCAAATAAATATGCTAACCTGCCTTTTGCTTATACATCCCCATTCCTTGAGTTCTTGCTGAAGTCTAAACAGAAAGCATTTGTCAAAAAAATGGAAATGTGACTCTTTGAGATAAGCTGTTAGAATTATTGAAAGTAGCTGCTTTTTATCATTGGGCTGCTAATTATTTTGGTGCTTTTTAGGGATTAGAAGTTTGCCAGGGATGTAATTTGAATGTAATATTTGAAATGTAGTATGTAGTTGAGTATGTGTAGTAGTTTGTGTACTAGATACAGTTAAAAATATGGTTAAATCCAATTTAATGAATTTTTAAAATGCACATCTCTTGATTTTGTTTTTTCTTCCAAAAAGGAAAATATATACAATGATCTACAGAAACTTGATAGTTGTCAATCAGCAGGGTAAGTTAATTTTGAACACTATAAACATACCATGAAAATATTTTAAGGGCTGTGAGTGTATCTCAGTGATAGAATCCTTGTCTAGCATGTATAATGTACATAAGACCCTGATCCCTAGCACCATACCAAAAAAAAAAGTACTTCGAAGATGTTTAAGTGTGTCATGTGTATTTTTACAATTGTGGTTTTCCTTAATCAGTTTTTTATTTTAATTTTTGAATTAGAGGTCTTATTTAACTTCCTCAGGCTAATCTCAGACTCATAATCCTGGTTCAGCCTCTTCAAGTATCTAGGATTCCAGGCATGGCTTGTCTTAATTAATTAATTAATTAATTTTGTAGTGCTGGGGATCAACCCAAGGGCCCTCATAGTTGCTAGGCAAGCACTCTGCCCCTGAGCTATACCCCTATTTCTATGGTTCTCTTTAGAAAAGTTACTTCTAGGGCTGGGGATTTAACTCAGTGGCCTAAGTGTCTGCCTGGCAAGTGCGAGGTTGTGAGTTTGATCCCTGGACCAAAAAAATAGAAAAGTTACTTTTACTGTATGTTAATTATAATAACAGTATGGTAAATTAGTAGAAAGAAATACATGCAAACTAAATATAGTAACAAATTCTAGTATAAGGTTAAAATCCTATATCAATGTAAACCTTGGAATATCAAGGTTAGGATTTATTTTGAAAAGTAGATAATTTTAAAAGCTGCTCAGTAGAGGTCTGATGATACTTTGTAAATCATATTGAAATGCTTTGTGGGAAGTAATGCAGTTACCTGCATAAGACCATTTGAAAGAGTGGATGCCTCTCCCACTGCCACCCCTTTCTCTGCAGTAGATAAAACATTGTTTATCAATTTTTATAGTTAAGTGGCATTTTAGTTCCTACTGGGAGTTCTAGCGGATCATTCTTGGATTGTGTCTCCCTTTGAGAATCTGACGAAGGCACTGAGTTTTCATTTCAGAAGGATGCATGTGTATATATATATATATATATGTATATATATATATATATATATATATATATAAATGTTGTTAGCTTTCCAGGAGAAAAGTCCTCATTTATAGTGGTGGCTGATTTCTCTGGTATAACTACTGTTATTTTCAGGTTACAGATACTGAATTTGGAAGAGTAATATAATGTGATCTGGAGTGCTGATAAGAGCTGGCTGTAGCACATGACACCTCTCCAAAGGCACATCCTTTAAGACCTGCAATTAAGAAACATATTCTTAAAATGAATTGACTACTTTATAATAGCACTATTTCATATTCAGGCTTTATTGTTGTAGTATTGCCTTAGTTACACGGTATTTTTATTTCCTGTGTCCCATTCACATTCAGGTTTGCATTCTGCATCATAATGTACAGAATTTTAATAATGTTGTGTTAAGTGTATGTATGAAATTGAATTAGGGTTTAAAATCCAGAAAAGGTCATCATTTTATCCCTTTTATCCCAGAGTGCAAATAACGTGACATTTTTTTTGTTTTGTTTTGAGACTGTATGAAGTTAATAACACAATTATAGCATCTGTAGTAGTATTTTGAATTTTTTTTTTTACACTTTTTTTTTTGTCTTTTTCATTTTTATCGGTACCAGGGATCGAACTCACGACTGCCTGCTTGCAAGGCAGGTGCTTATGCCGTTGAGCTAAATCTCCAGCCCCAGTATTTTGAATTTTTATAAAGTGTATACCTCTGATGCTTGAATTTCACTCATTAATTTAAACAAATCTTGGCAGATTACTATGCAAATTACATTAATGAAATTGTAACCTATGGATTACTTAGGTTATTTCATCTTGAGTTTGGTTTAAGATTCAGTTCAGTAAAAGTAATTTTGAAACTCCTATATCAGATCAACCTTGTTATACCCGGTACCTTTTTAAAATTACATTCATAACCAGGTGTGGTAGTACATGCCTGTAATCTCAGCATTGGCAAAGCCAGTGCAGGAGGATCATCATGAATTCAAGGCCAGAGAGCTATATAAGAGAGTTTAAGGCCAGCTTGCACTACATAATAAGACCTTGTCCCAAAAAAACCCTGAAAAAATTACATTTGTTTTTGACATTTCCTTTATTGTATGCACTAAAATTTTCTAGGTGATAAAACCTAAGCTTTATGTGCAAGTTAAAAATTATGCTTTATATATAAGAAAGTTAAAATATGTTATCAAAGTATTATTACGTAGGCATGACTCCACTATTGAGGTGAACATATTTTTATGGTGGTAGAAAAGAATATTTGATTATGGTCTTGAGTAATTGTGTACATCTCAAATACAGAATTTGGGTGGTTAAGCCATACATCTATACTATATATCTGAATTTTCCTGTCCAAAGCTGTTCACCTTTCTAAAATTTCTCTCTTGACATATAGAACAACACATATATTACCCCAGGTAGAATCTTTTTAACTCCTTTCTTTCTTGAATTGTGTATCAGAGACCAAGTTTTATTGGTTTTTATCACTATAATTATTCAGTAGTGTTTTTCCATGCTTTAGTTCAGGCTTTAATACTTTTTCCTTCATAGTATTGCGGTTACTGTCAAATCTGGTATCCTTACTTTCGCTCTTTTTCTTTTGTTTTGCCTTCTCATTTATGAGTTTATGATTGTGTGGGTATGCTTAGGAAAAAATAGTTTTGTGAGCTAGAAAATAAGTTTTATTTCTTAGGTTGAAACCTTTTTAGTAATTGGCTGCAACAGTGCTTTAGAGAAAGTTCTGAAATGTCTGTTGGGAAGAATGGGGTAATGCATTTTGACATTTGTGCTATTTGTCTTGACACACAAGACCCTTTGCAATCTACCCTGCTTATATTCCAGTAATAATGAACTACCATTAGATTCTTGCAACAGGAACTGTTGGTTTGCTAGTGAATGCTTTTCACATGGTGTCTGAAATGCATTTCTTAGCTTTATTTCCATGTACTTTCTTAGGACTCTCCTGATTTTTTGCTCTTAACTCCCTTCACCCAATTCCTACCAAATAATTATTATGCTGTCTTCTTTGTTAATGTTATATAATACATTAAACTTCTTTTAATGTATTATATAAACTTTTTTTTCCTTTTTTGAGATAAGGTCTTGGAATGTAGTTCAGACTGGCCTTAAATTTACTATTTAGCCCAGGTTGACTTTGAGCTTGCATTAATCCTCTTGCCTCAGCCTGCCAAGTGTAGGGACTGCACGCATGTGCTACTACACCCAGCTTATATATACTCTTTAGGTATCTTCTGTGCTAAAATTAAATTATTTCTATCTCTAATATTTAGCATGTGAAAGGCACCTAAGAAGTATGTATTTAATGTCTGTCAAAAGGTTATAATGTCTGTGGTGTTTGTGTTGGACTGGTAATTTTTTTGAGTATCCCTTTCCTAGTGCATGACTCTGTTTTATTTTTTTCCAGAACCATTAGACTCTGGCACATCTGTGAGTGAGAACAGGTGTTATCTTGAAGATGGGAGTGAACAAAAGGTGATCTTCAAAAATTTATTTTGGCCTAGTGTTTCTTAAAAGTTGGAAAGGCTACGTATAACAGAATTTTTAGCTCTCTAATGTTTTAAGTTTAATTTGTCATATTTTACTGGTTTCTTGAATGCTTAGGATCCTGGGCAAGAGCTACAAGAAGAGAGCCCTTCATCATCAGATTTGGTTTCTAGGCCATCTACCTCATCTAGAAGGAGAGCAATTAGTGAGACAGGTATATTTATGAGTATTTATTTGTCATAGTAAAAGGCTTCTTTTTCTAATGAAATTACATTTCAGCGTAATGAAATGTGCTTTTTCAGTTTAGTTGAATGAGTTTCTTGTTTTTGTATTATGTTAACTTATACATTGCAGTTTCAGTAGTGTTTTGTTCTGACTATAGGCACAATTTACTCTGCTTCACTGGAGTTTATAGTTACCTAGCTCTCTATTAGTATGATGAGGAGAAGGATATACATTTTAGGCTTTATTCTTAGTTACCATGACACCTGAAATTTTTCAATCATTGTTTTTAATAAGTGAAACATAAGGAGAAGTTTTAAAACAGATATAGCATCTTGGAAATGAAGGGATAAAACAGTTGAGAATGTTTCCCCATAGAACTGACAAGTGGAGGAGAAGGCTGTTGCCTGATCAAAACTCGGAACAGCTAAAACTCTGAATTAGTTGAAAATAGTTCAGATCAGTGAAATACAAGAGTACAATGTTACACATGAGATCAGAGGGACATTAGAAGATGTTAGGTGTGTGAAACTAGACCAGATAAGTAGTTATTGGGGGCAAAAAATCAACTTACGTTTACAACTTTTGGTAGGGTGAATTTTAAAAGAATTTAAAAGGTAAAGTACAATGTGTTTGAAAGACAGGGCACTGCTGGCGGCTCTTTGCATTGGCGGGTGCACGGCCACCCCACAGCCTTTCTCACCAGGCTGTTCAGAGCACTTGGCTGCAGTGCCCCAGGCCCAGGCTGGGGAGGCGTGCCACATTTTCCTACTGGGTACCTTCCCTAGACGGGGTGTGCCACCTGGGGGCAGGAAAAGTAGATCTCCTCACCAGTATGGAGCCTCGGCTATCACATGGACCTGGCGGCTCAGGCGGTTAGAGGTCTCTTCTGCAGTGAACCTTCAACTTGAAATTATTTTCCTGTATGAAATTATTTAGAATGGACACATTCTGTATTCATTCCTGCCTCTCTACATTGCATTTCCTGTGTCCCCAGTGATAAGGATAGATGGATCCACCGCTGAGTCAAGAGCTTAATAACTAAATGGCATGGATTATTACTGTGCTGTAAAAAATAGTCGTTTTCAGTGTTAATACTTTTCATAGTAAATATAAATGACAAAAAGGATTTTTTAAAATACAACTTTATTTTCACGGATTACACAAAGCTACGTGTCTGGGTGTGTCAAGTTACTGTATCACTTGATATAATGGGTTAAATTCATATGGATTATAGACAGACTCTGTTCTTCCTGTTATTCTGGTAACTGTGCTTCTGGGAACCTATCCTAGGACTATGTTAATATAAATCAGAAGTTCCAGGATTTTTATGTAGAAAGAAATTACAATAATTTTTGTAAAGGTATGCCATGCTAGGCATGGTGGCACATGCCTGTAATCCCACCACTTGGGTGGCAGAGAAAGCACAATTGCTTTGAGTTTGAGGCCAATCTGGGCTGCACAGTGGACTCAAGACCAGTTTGCACTACACAGCAAAATCCTGTCTCAAAAAAAAAAAAGACAGGCCATATGTGATGATAAGAGAATATCGCCATCCAAGTCTAGGCCATTGTTTGACCACTTCCCTGGACCCCCTGCTCCCAGCCGCAACTTTCTGATTCTCTTTCTGCATGTACTCTTGTTCTTTCTATTTTTTGGTGGTACTGAAAGAGATCAGAAAGTGTAAATTGAGTTGTCACTTAGCCATTTGACTACTGTATTTTTTGGTGCCACTGGAGATTAAACTTGTTTCCTTGTGCAAGCCGTGCTTGTTCTCTGCTATTGAGCTATATCCCCAGCCTCTATGGTCTAGTTCTGATAGTCTTTCTTGAATATTTTTCAGTGCTATGCCCCACACCCAATATTAAAATAGTATTTTTTTGCTGGACATTATGTTGTGCACATCAGTAGTCCCAGTACTCTGGAGACTAGAGACTTCAGTTCAAGACCAGTCTGGTCTATGTTGCAAGTTCAGAGCCAGCCTGGAACTACTGTGTGTGTGTGTGTGTCTGTCTGTCTGTCTGTCTCTCTCTCTCTCTCTCTGTCTCTCTGTCTCTCTCACACACATGAAGCCCACGAATACAAAGGTTTTTTTTTTTTTCCTTTTTGAGACAAGGTCTCATTGTGCAGTTCAGGCTGTTCTTGAGCTCACTTTGTAGCCCAGGCTGGTCTCAAACTCCCAAAGATCCTCCTGCCTCAGTCTCCCGAGTGCTGGGATTACAGGCATATGCTACCATGCCTAGTTTTTTTTTTTTTTTTTGACAAGATAGAATACTAAATTACAATGAAGGCCCAGGGTTTGGTTCTCAGCACTGCAAATAAAACAACCCAACAACAACAGCAATAGTAGCAAAACCTTTTGCAGATAACTTGAGTGGTTTTGTTCTTTAGGTTTGGCCCTTGGCTCTTTGATCTGTGGTTTTTTTGTTTTTTTGTTTTTTTTTTGGTGATATGTGATTGAACCTAGGAACCTAGGGTCTTCCACATGCTGGCCAAGTGCTGTACCACTGAGTTACATCTCAACTCTTATTTAGAAATTTTTTTTTTGAGGCAAAGTCTTGCTGTGCAGTTCAGACTAGCCTTGAACTCATGGAGATCCTTCCACCTCAGCCTTCCAAGTGTTGAAATTACAGGTATTTGCCACCACACCTGGCTTTAGAATTTATTTTTATGCCCAATATAAGGTACAGTTCTGATTTATACCTGATAGATGTTGACTAACATTCTGACTTCAGTTTTTTTTTGGGGGGGGGAGGGGAAGTATGGAATTTGGAGATTGAACTCAGGTCCTTCATACTGAGTTACATTTCCAGCTCTTTTTAAATTTTTTGTTTTGTCTTTCAAGACGGGATCTCACTGTGTAGTTCAGGCTAATCTTGAACTGATGTGTAGCCCTGGCTGACCTTGAGCTCATGGCAATCCTCCTGCCATGAGGAGGCTGGTATCCTGTATTTTCAAAAGGCAAAACCAGTGAGAACTACCCATTTTAAATGCTGTATTATCTCTGATTTCTCAGCGGCATAAGCACCTGCCTTGCAAGCAGGCGGTCGTGAGTTTGATCCCCGGTACCGATAAAAATGAAAAAGAAAAAAAAAAGTTAGAGATAGCTAGGCATGGCTGCACATATCTGTAATCTCAGAACTTTTCGAGGCAGGGGCAAGAAGATTACAAAATCAAACAAGCTTGGGCAAACTAGATGATCTTGTGAAAACATGTCTCAAAATAAAAAATTTTAGGCTGGTCATGGTGGGACATCTGTCCTCCTGAGCTATATCCTGCTCCCCAAGCCCCCAGCCCTTTCTTTACCTTCTTTTTTAATATGGCGAGGTTGATCTCAAAACATAAATTGTGATTCCTCAGCTTCCTAAATAGCTAGGATTCAAGGTTGTGCTATGATGCTGGAAAGCTTTTTAAAGTAGCGCTCTGCTGTGAATTCTTAATTGGACAGATTTAATAAAATGGTGTTGACTTTTGAAACATTACTAGTTTTTCTGTTTGCATTTATTGAAACTTTTATTACCATTAGTTACTAAAGACAATTTCTAAATCATAGTATAGCACATTAATTGCCCTTTTTTTTCTCTTAATATCTAGAAGAAAATTCAGATGAATTGTCTGGTGAACGACCAAGAAAACGCCACAGATCAGATAGTATTTCTCTGTCTTTTGATGAAAGCCTGGCTCTGTGTGTAATAAGAGAGATACGTTGTGAAAGAAGTAATAGCAGTGAATCGACGGAGACGCCATCAAGTCTGGTAATGTTCTTTTTTTAAATTAAGGCTCTTATTTTTACACTGTAGGCTTGGCGGACCTAGTAAGTGTGTGCAGAAAGAATGTACGTGTATGATAGGAGATTGCTGCTGAACACAGCGGTAGATTTTAGTTGCAGATAGAGCTGTAGATTTGTCTGCCTCTAGTCCCAGGTTTAGGAGAAAAGTAGAAAGTAGTGGCATAGCACTAGATCTGGGGACATAGTACAAATACTCTTTTTTTTTCCAGGCAGTATCTTGCTATATAGCCCAGACTGATCTATATAGCCCAGTCAGAATCTTCCTGCTTCCACCTTCTAAGTGGCTATGATTACAGGCATGCACTGCCATGCTCTAATAAATATTAATATTTATGTAATTTTTTTTTTTTTTGCCTTTTTCTTTTTTATCGGGTCCGGGGATTGAACTCATGACTGCCTGCTTGCAAAGCAGGCACTTATGCCGCTGAGCTAAATCTCCAGCCCCCATACTTATGTAATTTTGAAGTTACACATTTTTTAAAAAAATAAAGGAATAGGCCAGGTATGGTAGTGTACTTGGGAAGCTGAGGCAGAAGAACTGCCATGAGTTCAAGACAGCCTGAACTATATAGTGAAACCTTGTCTCAAAAAGGCCAAAAAGAGAAAACAGAAAGACACTGGAAACTTACTTGGTTTAACTGTGTGTCTTAGGGTTCCAGTGCAAACTTATCTTGAATATTTAGAATAAAAGTATCTTTTAAGAGGTAGTCAGTTTAACTCAGTGGTAGAATACTTGCCTAGCTTGCTCAAGACCATGAGTTCAATACTCAGCACTGCAACAATGACAAAACTTTTATGTAGGTGCCAGCACACAGGTCTGCACAGTCTACCATATGCAGGTGTAGAAATCAGGGAAGGTCTGTTTACTACTGCCCTCCCCTTCCTCTTTCTTTCTTCGCTGCCTCCCTCCCTCCTTCCTCAATCTCTCTCTTTCTCTGTTTCTATCAGTGTCTCTCTCTCTCTCTCTCTCTCTCCCCTCTTTCCCTTTTTTCCTTCCACTAAATATTTTTGTGGTGCAGTAGATAAAATCCAGGGCCTTGCACATGCTGGGCAATCACTGCCACTGAGCTGCATTCCCAGCCCTTATGAGTTATTTTTTCCCCCATACCCTGGATAGCTTAACTGTTGATAAACCTGTATCAGAGCCAGGTATAATCCCAGCTCTTGGGAGGTTGAGGCAGGAGGATCACTTGCAGTTCAAGGCCAGCCTGGGCTAGAGTGAGTTCAAGGGATCACTTGGAGTTCAAGGCCAGCCTGGGCTAGAGTGAGTTCAAGGGATCACTTGGAGTTCAAGGCCAGCCTGGGCTAGAGTGAGTTCAAGGCTAACCTGAACTACATAGTGAGACTGTCTCACTCGCATCCCCCACATAAGAATCAGAATTCTAGCTAAATCATTAATTTAGAATCTCTGTTGTTGCTTTGTACCTGGGACACTGAGTATGTTTCTGTTTCATTTTCATTCACCTCATGTGGGAATGTTAATCTCAATAGTCAGTCACCACCTGCAGGTGGGGAAAGTAAGATTTGGAACTTTTAAATACCTTAAGATTTCTGCAATTAAATAATTATCACAGTTGAAATCGGTCAAAGCAAAGTATTTCTGACTACAAAATCGAAGATCTTTCTATGCCAGGCTTATCTAATCTTTTAAAACTATAGTATTTAAGTTTCTATGTCGTTCTTTTTTAAACATTAGCCAAAACTTTTTTTTTTGTCTTTTTCCTTTTTATCGGTACCGGGGATCTAACTCATGACTGCCTGCTTGCAAGGCAGGCGCTTATGCCGCTGAGCTAAATCCCCAGCCCCAAGCCAAAACTTTTTAGAACAATGTCAATATCACATTCTTCATTGTGTCTTGCAATAGGTGTTGGCAGATTTTCTCTAGAGACCTGATAGTTTATTATGTATTTGAGTTCTGGGCCGTTGGTCTCTGTTGTTGCTTCTTTACTGTGCTGTAACAAAAAAGCAGCCATAGTAAGCAGGTAAAGTCGGCAAGGCTGTGTTCAGTAAAACTTTTGAGTAGACTGCAGATAGATTTGCAGACCTCTGCCTTACGAACATGCTAAGATTTAATTTTTCTTCTGATTTTCCTAATTATTTTAATATCTGTTCACAAAAGAGTAGTTAATTGAAGGCTTTGGTTTGTTGGTTACTTTTATTAAAGATGTTACTAAATTCTGTCCTGATTGTAATAGAGCTCTTGAACTGCATCTTGATGAATGTTGATTTTTACTATTTTCCTAATACTATGCTAAAAGTTTCTGACCTCAGAGGTGATAAAATAATAATGCTTTATTTGCTTTTAGAAATGGTAGAGATTATTTAATCCAAATTCCTTTAATAGAAGAAATAGCTGTGGCCTTTAGAAGTGATGATGTCTGTATCCTGTACATACTTTTCTTTCAGTTGTACCCTTCAACTTGTATTCATCCTGCCCTTAGCTATAGATAGCAAATGTTAGGGGTCTGATGGTCTTATTAGGCTCTATAATTTAGTAAATCCTAAAATGAGAAATAAGATGAGCAGATACAGAATTTTAGAAATAATTAAGTCTAGATATTCTTCAGAAGAAATTCTCAAGCTAAACATGGTGGCATGTGTGCAGTCCCAGCTACTTGCCAGGCCGAGGGACGATGATTGCAGATTTGAGTATGGCCTGGGTAACTTAATGAGACCCCTTGTCTTTAAAAGAAAAATTATTTTCAGAGTTTATTAAAAAAAAAACAATAAATTTGTATATGGGCCTTACTAGCAATCTGAATAAAGTGTAAGAGATTTTTTTCTGTGTGGAGTGTTTTAAATGATTAAAATTAAGACAATTACCATTAGTCTCTCAAAATATTCCCTACTCAGTTTTTGCCACTTTCTAACAGTGAAGGTCCTTATTTGTATCTTTAAGAAGTGTGAGTAATGCGGGTGCTAAGTGCCATTAACAGAAAGGCAGTGTATCCTCATCCACCTTATTTGCCCATCTGTCTTTTGCAATTTCTAGCTTTTCCCCAAAGTCAAAATTACCAAGGGGCTGGGGATTTAGCTCAGCGGCATAAGCGCCTGCCTTTCAAGCAGGCAGCCATGAGTTCAATCCCCGGTACCGATAAAAAGGAAAAAGACAAAAAAAAAAAAAAAAAAAAAAAAAAAAAATTACCACGGAAGGTAAATATTTTGAATTGATTTAGGACTTTGAGTTAGTCACAACAATACAACTAAATACATAAAAGAGAACTGCCAGTCCTGGTTCAGAGAGTGGCAAGAATGATGAGATAAAAGTGTCTGAGGTGACGGGTGTGCATTTTGAAGGAGATTAATACATGTCTTTTACTATATGTGACTCATTTTAAAATTTTTAACATTTTCTGTTTTTTTTTTTTTAATCAAAGCTTGTAAAATGTAGAAATTGTTGGGCTGGGGACTTAGCTCAGTGGCACAAGCACCTGTCATACAGGTTGCAAGGTTATAAGTTTGATCCCTGGTACTCCCCCCCCCAAAAAAAAACCATGTAGAAACTGTAAACTATTTTAGTGAGGGTAAATGTGGAAATTACAGTGTCAAGATTGGTTTAGGAGTCAGGCAGGGTCTAGCTGTACTGTCCGAATTTAGTAAGGTAGGAGAGGCTATCTAGTTGTAGAGAATGAACATGTTAATGTATGTCATTGTGTGTGCATCTCTGTGCCAAGGGGCTTTGTCTTCTTCCTTTATGTAATGAGATTTTTTAGCAGGGAAAATAGTATTAATATAATAACTGTGAACCTTAATGTAGTACCAGTATACACTATGAATCTGGGGAGGAAATAGAGGCACATGGTTATTAGAAATTTGGACAAAGGCCAAGCGGTCATGTATTAAGTTCACTTTTTTTAACCCCTCTAGGATCTGGATGATGGTGTAAGTGAACATTCTGGTGATTGGTTGGATCAGGATTCAGTGTCAGATCAATTCAGTGTAGAATTCGAAGTTGAATCTCTTGATTCAGAAGATTATAGTCTTAGTGAAGAAGGGCAAGAACTCTCAGATGAAGATGATGAGGTAATTTTTAAAATTATATTAGAAAGTTGTTAAATACTTTTTATGTTTATTGATTTTGATGAGATTGAAGATGTATTCAGATTTTTTTGTGAAATCCTAGCCCCTTGATTGTTCAAACTAGAATATTGGTTTGAGGCTTTCATAGTTCCTATTGTCTTGTGTAGTTTTGTACTACTAAGTCAAGGACTTGATAATGAGCCTTATAATCTGGTTTTTAAATTATGTAATTCGGTTCCCCTCTTGCAATTTTAAGTTACATTTTGTAAAAGTAAGCCACACAATTAAAGTCAAGATGTGGAGGTTCTAACTACCACATCTGTTTCCTGAAAGTGACTATTTCAACATTTTTAGCTGTTTCCCTATTATTTACTATCTCTATATTTACAAAATCACTTATCTTGAATATTTTTAGTATCTTATCCATTGACTTTTACCATAATTTGTGAGGATTTCACTGTCCTCCGTTTTTCTTCTTTACAGTCACTCAATTTTACCCTGTCTTATTTGTTTGTTTGTTGTTTTGTGCCCCCCCCCCCCAATCTAACTCAGGACCTTGAGCTAACCAGGTAGGCACTAATGCTGCTGAGCTAAAATCCCTGGTCTTGTTTGTTTATTTTGAAACAATTTTATTATGCAGTTCAGGCTGATTTTGAACTCTATGTAGCCCAGGCTGGCCTCAAACTTGGAGCTATCCTTCTGCCCCAGTGCTGAGACTATAGGCGTGTACCACCACGCCCAGCTTACCTTTGTTTTTGAATTTTTCATAGTAGTGGCACATGTTATCTGTTTGGATTTAGAACTAAGAAACTGTCATGATTGAAGAAAAAAAGGTGGTGAATTGATGTTGATGAATTTGTTTTGGTAGGTATATCGAGTCACTGTGTTTAAGACAGGGGAAAGTGATACCGATTCATTTGAAGAAGATCCTGAAATTTCCCTTGCTGTAAGTGTAAATCTACTTTTTTAAGGAATTAAAGTCAAGACTAGAGAAATATATCTCCTGAAGTGAGTTTTCTTTCCTCTTGTTGCTAGCAATTGAACCCAAGGCCTTCACACTGAGATACATCCCCACCCCTTTGTTTTATTTTGAGGCAATGTTTTGCTAAATTGCCCAGAGTTGCAATTCTCTTGCCTCAGACTCTTAAGACTACTTGTTTTAGAGGCATGTGCTACCTCACCTTTGTGAAATGGTTTTTATAAAGTTAAAACTTATAAAATCTGATTGATTTGAGGTAGTATATTTTATTTGTTGTGGAATCTATTTGTTTTCTATGGGGAATTTGAACTTCATTATATTGTTTCCTTTGAAGTGGACCCACCTCTTGTGTTGCAAGACTGTTGTCTTTGGTTTTAGGAGATAGTGGAAACTATCTCTGACAACTAAGGAGAATCAGTGTGCGGGAATATGTTGCTTGTACGCTTGTTGCTACTGTGTTATGTCAATTGTCAGGCACCCTAAAAACAGTAATATTACTCGTGGCATAATAGGAAGCCCCTCTTCTGCAAGCTTCAAATGTAAAGTCTTAGGTAAGACTTTCAGTGCTTCATTTCAGAAAGAAAATAAGGATGTGTTCAACAAAGAGGTGGGAATTTGAGGGAGTTTGTCATCTCAGTTGCATGGAAGAAAGAGAAACTGGATAAAGAAGAAACCCTGAGCAGTTACAGATGAGAGCATACAGAAATGGATAGGGCATATATTTTGGATTGGGACCAAAGATGGGAGGTTTTTAGGTGGCAATGAGAAGAATTTTGTTTTGCCATTTCCTTTATGAATACAGAGCACTTGGGTTGAATCATGATTTTAAAGTACTAATTTTTAAGGAGTCTTAGTCACTGTTGTGTCAGGAGGCTTTTCAGTAGGAGAAGCAGGTTGTATCTAGCTTGAGGGGGTAGAGTCTAGGCTGCATGTCTAGGATTGAGCTGGACATGGAAGTTGGATGTAGACTTTAGTACAGAGGAAAAGATCTGCTATCACTTGCTTTAAATGAATCAGCTGTGTGTCTGTCCTCAGATAACTTCATAGGTATACCATCACTATGACAACAAATACATTTTTAGTTTTAGGGTTTTTCAGCTTGGTAAAGCTACAAAAGTACTTAGAATCATGTACTTGTTGCATGTTAATTTTTTCTTCCCAATCCAGTGTTGAGTTTAAAAAAAAAAATCTCAAGAATTGTTGTATTTTAGCAGTGTTACAATAAGGTTTTTAAAAATATTTTATTTGAGGCCTGTAGTCAAATAAATGAACATCATTATTTCACAGGTACCTTTTGTATGGGGGAGATAAAAGTACTATTCTTGGTGAACTTACAAAATTCAATATAAAGTGTAGTTTTCCTGTTACACATGTTAACTGTGGGTAAAATGAAATGTTGACAGTTTTGGGTGTGCTACGTTTTACCTCAGCATACTGAAATTGCGCTCACTGTTGGGATTAGTAATTAAAGAGTTATAGAAACTAACTCTCTTACTTCATTGAAGGACTACTGGAAGTGTACTTCATGCAATGAAATGAATCCTCCCCTTCCATCACATTGCAACAGATGTTGGGCCCTCCGTGAGAATTGGCTTCCTGAAGAGAAAGGGAAAGATAAAGGGGAAACCCCTGAAAAAGCAGAGTTAAAAAACTCATCGCAGGCAGATGAGGGCTTGGATGTGCCTGATGGTAAAAAAACTTTGGCAAATGATTCCAAAGAGTCATGTGTTGATGAAAATAATGATGAAGTCATACAAGCCTCCCAGTCACAAGAAAGTGAGGACTATTCTCAGCCATCAACTTCCCGTAGCCTTGTTAGTAGCAGCCAAGAAGATGTTAAAGAATTTGAGAAGGAAGAAACACAAGACAAAGAAGAAAGTGTAGAATTTAGTTTTCCTCTTAATGCTATTGAACCTTGTGTGATTTGCCAAGGTCGACCTAAAAATGGTTGCATTGTTCACGGCAAAACAGGACATCTTATGTCATGTTTCACATGTGCAAAGAAGCTAAAGAAAAGAAATAAGCCCTGCCCAGTATGCAGACAACCCATTCAAATGATCGTGCTAACTTATTTCAACTAGCTGACGTCCATAAAAATTTTAATTTTAACTATATAAGCCTAAAAATTTAGACAACACAGATTTTATAAACATCAAAGCAAGAAATATAAGGACATTTAAATGTAACTTATTTAGAGACTTTTGTGTAAGGAGGAAAAGTATGTGGTAAGATTTAATATTTAAAATGTAGATACTCTGACACACAATCCTTAGTTTCCCTCCACTTTCAGAAGTTGTTATTTATATTTGGTGCTATGTTATGTAGGTAAAAATATACCATTTATAATAATTAAGAATCTTCAGTGAAATAGTGAAAATAACCAGAATTGGTAATAACAATTGAGATTATAAATAATAGCATATATAATAAATGTTACTCAGCATTCAGCTTTGCAAGTTGGGTCTTGTTTTACATGCTTATGGATAACTAATGTCTTGATTGTCTAAATTTTTAGGTTCAGTGTATGTATATTATTGATTTATAAATAAATGATTTATTGAACATTTAAGAATTGTTTCAAAAATGTGATTATTGAATCTTAAAATTTTTTTGTAATCTTTTTGGGTAATCTAAGACATAGCCCTGAATTCTACTTTTGGAGTGACCTGTGCCCCTTTATCTTGGTAATCTTGATAATGCCTGCCTAGTGTGATGCTGTTTGAATTGAATAAAAGCTAGTTGATACTGCAAGGTAACAGGGACAGGAAACAACTTTCCCCTGTAGTGTTCACTTGGCTCTCCAGTTTGTGGACTGGCTTAAGTGGTTTTTCAGTAAGTGACTAGTAAGTGAGTAGTTTAATCCTGCTTTAACCGTTCACTTCTCTGGACAGTGTCAAACAGTCTCACAAAACTAGGAACTCCTTGACTGTGTTGCATAAATGTAGATACTCAGTAAGAATTTATTAAGTGAGTCAAAGCGTTGGGACTCCTAAGAGTCTTGAAGCTGGCTTTAACATGTTCATGATGGGGCCATAAGTCCTGTGTCTTCGTTGCTGGGTGGCTTGAACTACTGATGGTACATGCATGACTGTCCTGTTGGGTGACTTTTTACTTTATTAGTAAAAAGACCAATAAAAATTATTAGATCTGTTTCTACTACCAGTGGTGCAAGCTGTCCATTGGGCAGTCATGTCTGTACCACTCACTGGTGGTTTGAGCCAGGAGAAACATGTTAAAGCAAAAACTTGTAGGTGCCAAAGTCAGAGACTTACCCTTTGGCATTGTTGAGCTTAAATGTTTAAAATTTCTAGTGTTTTAAAGATGTTAGAGTATCACTCTGTGGGCTCATGAGAGTAACTACAAGTAGTTATAGCAACATATTATGGAAAGTTTGTAGTGTACCTTCTTTTGTTATTTTTTATTTTTTTAACTTTTTATTTATTTATTTATTTTTATTGGTACTAGGGATCGAACTCACGACCGCCTGCTTGCAAGGTAGGTGTTTATGCTGCTGAGCTAAATCCCCAGCCCCTGTATGTACCTTCTGACAGAATGCTGAATTGAGTTTGATGTATTTATAAAATTTTTTTGAGCTTGAAAACTAATTGATAAGGGGCTAGGGATTTAGCTCAGTGGCATAAGCGCCTGCCTTGCAAGCAGGCAGTCACAAGTTCGATCCCCGGTACCGATAAAAAAGAAAAAGACAAAAAAACCCCAAAAAACTAATTGATAAGGATAGTGGGTGTAGGTTGGTGGTAAAATGTGTTTAGCGTATATACGTGAAGTTGTGGTCCTAGGTTTGATCCCTAGGAGCATAAAATAGCCCTCCCTACCCAAACCCAAACCTGTTTGTTTTTTTTTGTTTGTACCAGGAATCGAACTCAGGACCTTGTACTTGCCAGGCAGGGGCGATACTGCTGAACTGTATTTCTAGGCCCTTCAAAACCAAATTCTTTTTTTTTTTTTTTTTCCAAAACCAAATTCTTAAAACCTCTTACAAGTTGTTTAAAAGCTTGTGATTATATTTATGATTTGATTAGCTTTCAGTCATACATAATAGCGTTTTGTGTGTGTGTGTGTGTGTGTGTGTGTGTGTTGTTAGGGATTGAACTCGAGGCTTCTGAGCTATAGCACTACCCTTAAAGGATTTTTACTGTTTACAAATAATGCTTTAAAAAAGATACATATCTGCTGAGTGTGATGGCGAATTGTACCCCCAGCACTTGGGAGGCTGAGGTAAGAGGATCTTTGGAAGTTCGAGATCAGCCTGGGCTACAAAGTGAGGCCAAGGTTATTCTGAACCGCATAGTGAGACTTTGTCTCAAAAAGATAAAAACAACCCCCACCCAAAAAACCCAAAACAATAGCTTAAAGCCACATACATGTAGAAGGTGTTCAGAAGTGTTATGTCAACAAATTTTACTGGACTGATAACTGAATTCATGAAAAGCAGCATAAAATAGAGCAAGAGCTGTGACACAAAAAATGGATAAAGGTTACCCATGTGTTTAATGTTTTATCACAGGTAAATATATTTAAATGTTGGAGTAATATTTTGGGTAAAGGATAACCATAATTGATTGTTTTGAGGAAGAATAATACTGAAACATACCTGAGTTTCATGCTTTTTTTTTTTTTTTTTTTAATTGGTACTGGGGATCGAACTCACAACTGTGCGCTTGTAAGGCAGGTGCTTATGCCACTGAGCTAAATCCCCAGCCCCTCATGCATTGTTTTTAAAAATGTTCTTAAAATTTTTTTTAAAAGTTTTCATCTTTGTTTCAGTCCCACATCTTCATTGCCTTCAGAATGTTACTACTAATTAGATGTCTTGCTGGTAGCTTAAAGTCAACTTTTCTTTTTGGGGGGTGTGTATGGGGGTGGGGTTTAGAAAGAGTCTTGCTTTGTACTTCAGGCTGGCTTCACACTCCTGAGAGTGTTCTGCCTCAGCCTTGTAGGTTCTGGGC